ACAGACTAAGACCTTATTCACACAGCGAAGAAAGGCCGAGTGGAAGGGGGCAAGCAGCTGGCTACTTCTTTGCCATGCGCTTTACTTCGCTTTATTTTATAGAAGAAAGAGACCAAATGAGAGTGAAAGGCAAGGGCAAGCGATAGAAAGGANAGGCAAGAATGATAAGAATTCGGGCCTCTAAAGCAAGATTAATGTGTCCTCTTGGATAAGAAGACCTAAAACACCAGTCAAGGGAAGAAGGTCGGTAACAAAAGGGAATCTTTCTTTTTCAGTTAAGTCTGCGCATGAATGAACCACTTGCCTCCGCTGCATGCATTATACCTAACCTTTTAACTTGATTTCAATCTCAACAAAGAAATGAAAGCATAACTCTTTGCTCGCTTGCAGCGCCTCTTAGTCTTTTATTTTAGCCTGCCTTGTGAAAATCTCTCGGGTGTCTACGGCAGATCCGATCAGTCTCGTGATGAAGAGAAGTCTTTTCCGATGTTGAAAGGTATCGTCACGACAACTCAATTTGTCCGGTAAACTACTCGGGCCTCCCCATGGTTTAGTAAAAGGGAGAGAAATTTTTTTTTTCATCCGGGGGTTCATTCATTATGAACTAAAAACACTGCTCTGCTGCATGACGGAGTGATCTTTCCCTCTTATGAAAGCCGGTATCTCACTTTCGAAAGAGAGTCTCGACGTGGCGGTGTAGACCTAGCTCCATAGCTGGGCTAGTCACTGGCTAGAGGGCGACCGACCTACCGGACCNTGGACCGGAGGCAACCGAGAATGTTATGTGAAAAGGACCAAGGAGGATCCTATCCTAAAGGAGAAGGAGGAGGAGTATGAGCTAGCTTTAGGGGCGGAATCGAATGATTACGAGATAAACAATGAGACAAAGGAGAGCACTTAGACAATTCACTTTGAGTACAGGGAAGTCTGCTGGTAGGAATTCCTCAGGGCGTATTCGGTTTTTCACCGAGGGGGTGGATCGAAGCGATTGCCATAAAACCAATGCAGCCTCGGGAAGAAAACCAAACCGGTTACTCACCTTGACGATCTCATGCTAATCACGGAAGCAAGCTCGCATTCCGCTCAAGGCCTCTTCGATCTACTTGACGACTTCGTTGGTGACACCAAATTTTGCATGCAAGTCCTATATGATATTACGAACCTATTTCAACTTTCGGAATCGAAATCCGACCCCGATATCAAAAAGTTCACTCCCGGTCAAACTTTCCAAAATATTCCAACTTTTCAACTTTCGCCAATTTATGCCGAAACGACCTACAGACCTCCAAATGAACTTCCCAACACGCTCCTAAGATCAAAATTACCATACGGAGCTATTGGAACTGTCGAAACTCCGTTCCGGAGTCGTCTTCACACAAGTCAAACTACGGTCAACTCCTACGACTCAAACTTTCAATTTAGGGACTATGTATCTCATTCCACTCCGAAATTCACCCGAACCCGACATCAACCATCATGGCAAGTCACATAACCACAAACTAAAATAGAGGGAGCAATAAATCGGGTATCGGGGCTAATACTCTCAAAATAATCGGCCGGATTGTTACAACATGTCAGGTTCTAGCACCCTGTGGTGTAAACGACTTTGTTTGTTGTAGAGCATCCCAATGGATCTCTAATGGGACAGAGCTCTGCGCGTTGCAGGTTTTACTGTGAAGTCTTTGTATGATGATCCAGAAGAAGTTTCTTGCTATGTGGAAAATCTAGCGTGGATTTTATTGCTGAGTCATGGAGGGCTTCACTATCCAAGGTGCAAGAGAAAACGGAAGATTTCAAACAATGGGTAGAGGACATGACATTTAAAGAAACAATATCTTGGGCAGTAGGAGCCATGGTTCTTACAGCAGGACTTCTATTTACCAGGTGAGGCCACTCTTTTTTTTTTAGTAGTTATAAAATAAAGAGGATCTTATTTGAAGCTTCATCAACTCTCTCTGATGTGGCATGTAATATTAGAATGTTAGTTGTTACTTTCTAAGTTCCAGCGTATGATTCTTAGTCCATTAGAGTGATGTATTTGGAAGTTTGATAATGTCTGCATGCTTAATGATATCATACTTCATCACTGTAAATTTACTTTTAATATGCAGTCAAAGGAAAAGCAATAGGCAACGCCAGAAACATAGCAGCCCTCCAACGCACGGCCAGGAGATTGGGAGGAAATGTGAATCCGAGATCCCCTACAAGTCAAGGGAGCGAAAAGGGTAGTTTAAGATGAATATCTCCTTACTTGAGAGGAGTTTCATCTTGTTGCTGTGTTCCCAGTCAAAGTTAGCGATGAGTACAGGTTTACTTGTTATTGCACTTCGAGTGTAAACCAGTGAAGAAAGTTTTCTCCTTCGTAGATTACTAACAAACTAAATTCACCTGCTTACTGCGGAGGCAAGTTAACTAGATTGAAAAAGTTGAAGTCAAGTTTGATAACATGGAGGCAGCTGGAACATATAACTATTTTAGTTCCCTTGTGATAGCTTCAAGTAGGTTCCATTGCAGAAGTAGAAAAATCTCAGTTATGGTGCTTAATTTACACTTGGGCTAGCTTTTTGCGAAGTTATGCCAATGCTATTTCACTTTGTTGTGCTTTAGATGGGAAGAGAGGAATTTATAGAATCTGATATACAAAAATTAAAAAAGAACATATCATTTTACGAAGATCTAAAGAATTCTTCCTGCTCACTACAGATCTTGGGGATCGTTTACTATGGGCTTTTTTTCCCTTAATTTTTTATACAAAAAAGCTTTTAAAATCATTTTGAATTAATGAACCTTTGTATAATGGGAAAGGCTTTTGATAGGTTTCGTCGTATCAGCTGGCTTTTTGGCCAATATATCTTTATAATATGAATAGATAGAAAATGTTATCGACTTGGCCTACTTTGACTACACTATTCTGTAACTATTAGGTTGCAATTTCAATAACTTAAAAAGGACTGTTTAGCGAGTATTTGAAAATTGAAGTTGCCAAAGAAGTATATAGAAGTAAACATGAATTTTACTTTAAAAAAAAAGTAGAGCCGTGTCCATTGTTCCCTTGAAATACGCCTCAAACAAGTTCTTCTACTATATTTTACCAGTATTTCAAATACTTAAGTTCAATATTTGATACTGGTGGCCGAACATGTATTTCCAATACTATAGTTTATGGACAAACAGATGATAGAACAGAAGATCAGGTGTATGAAAAGAGTTTAATATCATTTGCTGCATACTTGCAACTTACAACATTTAGAACACCATTGTCCCATTAAGCTTCTTTACTTATTGCACAAAGAGAGGCATGGACCGGAGAGGGGAATGGGCTTGTAACATTTCCACTGGCTGTTTAGTTTAGATACCATTCTCATCATCAAGTAAGTCATTGTTGCAGTTACAAAATGGTTGTGTTATCCTTAAAAGAAAAGATTTATAAACTATAACCTTACAGAATTTTTTAAACTATTGGATGATAAAGCAACTCATCCTAAATCAAGGATTGTCAAATCTGAGTGCTAGTAAATACAGAAAGGAAACAAAATGTGTCTATAAAAACTGAAACATCTTAGATCTTCTGAATATAAGTTATGTTGCCGATTTACAGATTTTTTTCCCCTTTGGTAGTAATATACTCATGGCCCATCCACAGTTCCAAAGCCAAAAAGGTATTGGGAAAGGATGGCTAGTGTTAATAACAAAATATAAAGTGTAGTGCTTATCATTCTTCGCTATATTATGGATAAATCTCCATGTACACTTTCTACTGTATCACATCCCTCCAACCTTTGGTGGCTGTTCAAATGAAAAACACAATTGTTAGATGTCTGGTAGAGTCTTCATTTCAGAAACTTACCGGGGACTTGTAAGAACTCTTTCATGTCAAAATCACTATATTAACTTGAGAAAATATAAACAAGAATATCATACCTTCTTTAGGGGCAACTTTGAACCGCTAGATAATATCGGTTTCAATATTTCAAAAGAACATACAAGTTGCTCATCAACGCTTAATAAGGCACCTGCATTATCGAACTCCCCACCATAGTTGGGAGCAGAAAACAGAGTCACAAGTCTTCGCTTGGCAAAGAATTCATATCCATCCTCCACCACCTAAAACAAAAATTTAGGAATCAGAATACATACGGGACAAATATAAAACTTGAGGAAACTGAAATGCTGATGGCTTAGAAGCAAGCGAACAACTACTGCAAGAGTATCATAATTGAAGTGCTTCGACAATAACTCTTCTTAAAATTGCCCCAGAATACTTCAAAACAAAAACAGAACTATATTCATGTCATAATCTGGATAAATACTTTGCTTGACATTTTTGTAGAAAACACATTTCCATGAGAAAGATATGAAATTTTCTAGCATGGGCATTTTTACGAAGTGAAAATAAGAAATGCCTGGAAAATAAGCTTTGCTTTAAAGAATACAAGCTAAAAGTAGGTGTTTGGAGTTTTCAAAGCTTATCAGCGAGATAATTTTTTGACCATCCAGAGTATGGCATACCTGATGACCCCGGCAGATGAGGTCTAACTCATTCTTAGCCAAAAACTCGGCAACTACATCAGGTCCAAAAGTACAAGAAACACCTCGATCACTCTCTGACCAACCCTTAATTCTAGGGTCAGGATCAGCCCACAGCAGATCACACAGCAAGCCACCGTCTGGAATCTCAGCTGGCCGCTGAATTTCGTTTATTTGGTCCAAACTTTTTAGCTCTGGAGAAATCCCACCATGCATGCAAAGGATCTTTTCGTCTATAAGTGCAGCAACAGGTAAACAATTAAAGCAGTCTGTGAATATCTTCCATAGCCTAACATTGAATCTCCTTTTACATTCATCATAAAATCCATAGACCCTGTTGATTTTTGCATCTTCATGGTTCCCTCTAAGAAGGAAGATCTTGTCGGGGTACCTAATTTTGTACGCCAGTAGCAAACATATTGTTTCTAAGCTCTTCTTGCCTCGATCAACATAATCCCCCAGAAAAAGGTAGTTTGCTGAAGGAGGATAGCCACCATATTCAAAAAGTCTTAATAAGTCTTGGAATTGGCCATGTATGTCACCTGCAAGAATGGTAAAAGAAAGAGATAAATTTGTGAGAGTATTACAAAGAGAGGCATTTATGATATCCCGTTAGAAACTAAATGTTCAATGCAAGCAAAAAAAACATCAAGAATCTGATAATTATAGCATCAAAAAGAGCCTCCAAAATTTACATTTAAGATTATCAAACATATTTCACAGACACCAGAATTTGGCGATGTAAGTCTATTAGCTAATAACATATTTCCTTCATGTAAACCACAATTTATCTATATAATAGGAGTAGTATATAAAGATTTTCTAGCATTGCATAACTATCTATGAATACTTATAAACCAAACTGCACCTTCAACCTCCAACATGTTCATTGCACATGTAAATGTTTTAATGCAAACAATATCTTATTGTTATCCGAGGACCATCAACCTTTGCAATCCAATATTTCATACCAAGCTCAGGTTATTAGGTCACAATAGTAAATTGCAGATATCAATTATAAGGGGCTCTTTGTAACACTCTGCATTCCCATCTAAAGAAGAGAGGAGAGGGAAGAAGGGAATATAATACATATCTTTTTCTTAATTACTATATCAAAGAATAGACATCTCAAATCATAAAGGTCCATTTTTTACCAATTATGTGACAATAAACGATAGATGCTAAGACACACAATCACATATTAAAAAGACCATTCATCCTGCATGCTGAAAAAATATTCAATATTTCCTGTGGTAATGGGAGATAATAAGCTGATTCGGACACTACCAATATAAATAAAAAATCAAAAATGAATAAAAAGGCAAAGGAAAATACCGCAGATCCTAATGGGGGCACGAAGCTGGAGGAGATTAGGCTGAGAGAGGAAAATCTGGCGAGCA